TAAAAAGCGTTCCTTTAAATAACTTTGGGGGGGGGGGGGGAAATGACATCGAGACAGCTATGGCTGCAGCTGTAAGCAAGAAAAACTGATATCACTGAATGTGCTTACAAGGGTCCTTCCAGTCTTCAAAGCATAGGGAGCTATGCAAACTGCTGGAGAATAATCTTTTCCACTCCAATTCCTTTTCAGCATCAAACTTTAAGTACTTGATGCAAGTATGTAGAGCAGGCTTTGACACATCTGCATGTGCTCATTCTCTCTAAACAGCTTCTTTACATGTACATGATAAAAGTCTACCCAAAGTGAAATAAATGTTGCCATCCATATTTAAAACTATTGAACATTTTCCAGCATTAAAATTAAGCTATTTGCCTGTATTTAAATGTATACACACAGTAATTCTATAAATGAATTATTTTCCTAATACAATATTACTTTACAGTTAGCTCAAAATCTTAATCTTACTTGGTAAAAGATTTAATTCAAAAAGACCAATAATATAGAACAAAAAACAAAACAAAAAAGGATTCACTGAAGATAAAAATATCCCTGCTTTGTGCCAGAGGCAATTAACGTTTCATCATGCCATTAAATGTTAAAGAGATACAGAGCAAATCCAAGGAGAGTAATTACATAGGAAATGCACGAGGTATTTATGTTAAGAACGAGTGACAAAAACACTGGCTAAGGGTCTGTGAAGAGCTAGAGGGTCATACAGTATCAGTATTTCTCTTCTTTTAAATTAATTTAAAAATAGGTTAAAAAAACCCACCACCACCACACACACACACACCCCCAACCACAATAGAGCTGTCATTGCTTTTCTTCATAGTGACTTTCTGCCACCTAGTGAAAGTGCTATGTTCATAAGAAAGATAACATGTACATTTGTTGCAAGAGGAGATGCACTTCCTAATACAATATAAGCTATGGTTAACAGACTACAAGACTATTTGAGAACATCTACTGAGAGGATACAACCTGATACAGAAACCGAATAACAGGCAACCATATGGAAACCATCAGTATTACAGCACTTGCATTATTTAGAACCATATAGCTCAACAACTGGCAAGGTTGGACCACTTCAATTAAGAAAACATACCCACGTAGATGGTTCTTAGTTCTATAGAACTATTTGTTATAGATGTCTTTCACTCTTTTAAAAAAAAAAAAAAACAAAAACCCACATGTTTCTAAGAAAACAAGACAAGCACACAGCATTGTTTGCTATAAACACGCCCAACTCCTTTGGGTTTACTGAAAACTTGCAGATTTATTGAATGCTGCCTTTGCTGCAGTCTTCACTGCTAAGGCCAGTCCTCAGGAATTCCAGACCCTGGAGACAAGAGAGAAAGACTGGAGAAAGGAAGACTCTCCCTTGGTCGAGGAGGATCAGGTTAGAGATCTTTTGTCCAAACTTGACATCCATAAATCCATGGGCCCCGATGGGATGCACCCACGAGTGCTGAGGGAGCTGGCGGATGTTATCGCTAGGCCACTCTCCATCATCTTTGAAAGGTCCTGGAGATCAGGAGAGGTGCCTGAGGACTGGAAGAAAGCCAATGTCACCCCAGTCTTCAAAAAGGGCAAGAAGGAGGACCCAGGAAACTACAGGCCTGTCAGCCTCACCTCCATCCCTGGAAAGGTGATGGAACAGCTCCTCCTG